AAAAATTAAAATTTAATATAAATATAATATATAAAATTTATATATAAATAAATTTCTCCTTTTCCTAATCAAAAGACTTTATCATCCATTAATAATTCCCTGCTTCAGCCGAAATGCAACTATTATGAATCTTTAATTCCCGTGTTGAAATTTCTTAAGGAAGGACTTTAGAATCTGTTGAAATTGAAAACTATTATCATCCAAGGGCTGCAAAAAAAAACCAGAAAAAAAAAAAAAAGTCAAAAAATGTGGATAGAAAGGAATTTTCAAATTCGTGCTGGTGAAGACGTCAGTCAATGAATGCCAAAAATGACGCACCCAAATAAAATTTAATTAATTTCCCCAAAATCTAAAAACTAGGCCAAAGCATGGGGCCAACAGAGGCCATTGATGCAAAGACGGCAAGGTTGCATATTTTCTCCGATTCCCATATCCCGGATTATCCGCGTAAGTTCCGGTCTTAATTTCCCAACTCTTTCTTGTTTTCGTCAATTATCTGGGTTTCGTTTGTTTTTGCTTTTTCTTGCTGGGTTTGCTTTCAACATTGGAGGCAACAATCCAGATTTTCATGGGGGCAATCTCGATGATGAATTAAGACTTCAAAGTCCCGGATGAAGATGGGTATATGTTTTATTGGCTGTTCTTTATCTTGGGTTTTTGGTTTTTCTTATGCCTATGTGTTGGGTACTCGAAATGGGTGTTTGATTGGGTTTGTTTTGGTTATTAATCTATGATGAGAAAAGGTAGTTTTTGGAGGAACCCAGTTGGGCATTTCATTGAAAACGGCAAAGTTCATAGAAATTAGGACATGGGGTTTGTTTTTTCTGAGTTCATCTGTCTCATTTTCTGGTTGGTTTGATGGATCTTGCAAGCTTTGCGTTTTCAAGTTGTAATTTTTGGGGGGCAAAATCATATTGAAAGTGGTATTGGGAAAAGTTCTTGTCTTTTGCACTATTATTGTCTGATATTTTGATTGCTTTAGTGAGTGTTTGTTATGCATAAATATATGATGGTTCCTTTTTGTTCTACACAGCTGCATGTTTTGTGATTGAATCTGATAAGTGGTACTCTTGCTGGCTTCTTTTTTTTTTTTTTTAATTCTCTTGAATGTCAATGCCAAATCTTTTACAGGAAATTGTTCCTATTCTCTGTTCTTTTGCTTTCTTCTTGTTTGTTTCTCAAAGGTGTCGTAAGGGAGGCAGTTGATTATAGTTCCTGCTTTAACAACACTTTCACTTTTTCGTGTTGAGATTCAAAACTATCATTCATTGATAGTCTGTTTTGAAATCTTTCGTGCTCAATCTTTATCCTTCATCTGCTCAGCCTCAAAATCATTTCTCATAATCTATTTTCTTTGAAAAGGTGGAAAAGTAAGCTTAAAATGCAAATATAAATTTACCTAGCCCTTTGCACCAGCATAGTGGTATGGGGTTAGCATGTGGAAGCTCTTTATAGAGTAGAAAATACTTAACAGCTTAATGAAAATATGGCTTGAATTCTTTTTGTGTGATTATCAAGAAACTGCTATCAGTTACCTTCATTCCCTAACCTGCAAAAAACCTTTATTATGCATGTTGAGGATGAGGACATTTTGATAGCCTTCTGATATTTAACAAATCATATGCAAATCTTGTTATTTTTTATTTTTTTTCCTTCCTGGAAATTCAGCTGGTTGTTAGTGTATGATTTACTTTCAATAGGCTTTGTTTAATGGTGTTCCATCTTCTTGAAATCTAACATTGATCAATCTATTGCAGATTAATAAGACTGAAGCTCATTGAAGATAGATAACAATTCTTAATTTATTGATTCAACCAAAGATCTCATCTCGGCAGATCGGGGTAGCAATGGCTCTTTTAGGCAGTTGCAAAGAAGTTGTTGAATCTCTTCATGGCATTGTAGATTATGACATGACAACAGAAAAAGCAGAATCAAATTGTACAACTACAAAAAATACTGTTGGGTTTGGTGGAAAACATGGACTCCATCCTAATAATGAAGTTTATGAGCTCCTAGAGTGTCCTGTCTGTACAGATTTAATGTACCCTCCAATTCACCAGGTCTGTTTTTGAATCTTATGAGTGTTGTTTCTTTACCCTGCTTTCTTTGTTTAAACTTGCAAACACTGTTTTAAGTCATCATTATTAGATTTTTGAAATATGTTGTTGAATTTTTATGATACAGTGCCCAAATGGACACACTCTTTGTTCAAATTGCAAGATTAGAGTGAGAAACTGTTGCCCCACATGCCGCAATGATCTTGGAAACATAAGGTGTTTAGCTTTGGAGAAAGTTGCAGAATCCTTGGAGCTTCCGTGCAAATACCAGAGCTTTGGCTGTCAAGATATTTTCCCATATCATAGCAAGTTGAGGCATGAGCAACACTGTCATTTTCGTCCATATGATTGCCCTTATGCTGGGTCTGAGTGCTCTGCCACAGGCGACATCCCAACTCTTCTTGCTCACCTTAAGGATGATCACAAAGTTGACATGCATAATGGGTGTACCTTCAACCATCGATACGTCAAACCAAGTCCACATGAAGTTGAAAATGCCACATGGATGCTGACAGTAAGTTCTTTTATGCTAACTTTTGGTGGATTGGATGTGACTCTTCTATAATCATCCCATGATACTGTTAATTTTTATGACTGCACATGTTCAGTTATGAAATGCTTCTCCTAAGGTTCTTGCTTAACAGTTAATTTCTCTATTTGGTTCACCTGGTTTCTGTTCAGTGTTAATAGTTGCTGTTACCCTAAATTGCATAATAAACTGCAGTTACAACGTTGGCCTGTTAGGTGGAGCTTCTTGGAGCTTTTAATTTTTTTTTAGTACTGTTTATGAGTCATAAGTTTAAATTTTTATTAAAGGGAAAATTTAAAAGTTATTTTTAGAAATAATAAAAAGTGAGTAAAAAGGAAGTTTATAAAGAGCAAAAGTTTGAAACTTTTTAAAATTCAGGTCTTTTTAAGGTTAAAAAAAAAATTAAAAAATATAAGTTTTTAAAAGGGAAATTTAAATTTATGAAACATAAATATTGTCAAAAAGCTGAAGTACTTACAAGTTTTGACAATAGCTGAAGTACTTACAAGTTTTGACAATAGCTGAAGTACTTACAAGTTTCATCAAACATGCTCTTAATCAATTCATTCTCAGGTTCCCTAGCAATCCATGTTTTTGAAATAATATCTTCACCTCCTTTTATGTAGCCATATTAAATTTTGGCTTGATATAGCATTACAATCTATATCTTGAATACCACCATGTTTTACAGGTATTCAACTGTTTTGGAAGACAATTCTGCCTGCATTTTGAGGCTTTCCAGCTTGGCATGGCACCAGTGTATATGGCTTTCTTACGTTTTATGGGTGATGACGAAGAGGCAAAAAAGTTCAGTTATAGTTTGGAAGTTGGTGCCAACGGCCGCAAACTAACATGGCAAGGGATTCCCAGGAGCATCCGTGACAGTCACCGGAAAGTCCGTGACAGCCAAGATGGACTCATCATCCAAAGGAATTTGGCACTATACTTCTCAGGTGGGGATAACCAGGAGTTAAAGTTGAGGGTAACTGGTCGAATATGGAAGGAAGAATGTGACTGAAACTGATAAAAGAAGTTAGGTGACTTTGTACAGCTTCAAAGAATTCTATGTTTTCACTCCCTCGCACTGCAAAGGATGAAGTTTTCATGATCATTACGAATCTCTGATTGGGGCTTCTCTGTTGTTGTGTGTATGCTCTATATTTTGCTTGTAATAGGTCCTTGACGGTCGAATCTAGCCGCTGATTGCTGCCTAGTATGAGAAATGATAATATCACATGGTTCAATTTGGTTGCTTAATTATGGAAGAGGGTGGTGTTATAGGGTTAATTTTTTTATATTATTATTTTTTTAAAATTTTTATATATTGTTAAATGAGTGGATGTTTTTAATATTATGGTTTCATATAAATTAAAAGAATTAATTATTTAAATAAAATATTAAATTATACAAAAATATAAAATAAAAAAATTATATAAAAATCATTTTCTTATGGATGATGAATCTGGTTCCTGACTTGTAGTCCTATCATGATCATACTTCGCTTGTCAAGATGCTTTGTTTTGCTTACGCATTCTGTTTGGTGAGCAAAGTTGCCGTGTAAGAAGATAAATTTTGTTATTTGTTTATTTAAAAATATAAATTTAATTAGTTTTTAAATAGAGTGATAAATTCTTAATTTTTTATTTAAATATGTTAATTTTTTGTTTATTATCTTATTTAAAAATTAATAAAATTTAGATTTTTAAATAAAAAATATAACAAAATTTATATTTTTATTTACACAATTTTTTCTTTAATCTAGTTTGTAAGAAAATCTACAAGAAAACTACTTCCTTATACATATTGTTAAACAATAAAATGATTAACACGAGCACAAACTCACTGACAATTGCGTTTTTATTAATTACTTAAAAATTTGTTTCGATATACATGGAAAGTGTTTCTCCTTGTCCTGTCTTCATTTATTCAAATCTCAATATTCAAATGGATAATGATAT